GATACTTTCCCCAATCATGGCCATCTCATAATATTTGCTAATAGTTTTTTTTGTTATTCAGTGATTTTTCTGGCATTTAATATATGACATTTTACCTTACGCTCTATTCATATTCTTCAAATTCATTACATTTGCAATATTTCCAGTTTCTTTATTCAGCCATGAGCATTCATCTTTCTTGATAGCTTTTTATCTCTTACAGTTTTTCCTTGTTTCTTGTCAGTATATTTTCTTATTTTAGAGGCTTCAGTTAATTTATCCTAAATGCAGGGGAGGTACAAGGGACTGTGAATTTCACTGGAGGTGAACACTGAAACTCCTTCTTGATCTGAGAATAAAAAATCACAGGCCTTCATTTCATTGTTCTAAAACCACTCCTGAGATGGTTCACTTCCTTTATTTAGAAGAAAAGCACATTTTCTTTAATAGGCTAGAAACATATTATATGGTTTGAAGTTTGGAAGTTTTGATGAATACATTATATAGAATAATTTAAAAATCAACAACTGGACATTCAACACTAAGACTTTACTTGCACAAGCCTCAAAGATTATATAGTTCTGTGATTCTTCTACATCTTCAATATGCTCACATTTCCTTATCCAGTTTTTCTTCTCCATGACTGTTGACTCCGAGTTACATCTTTCCTTCTCAATTTCAGATGAATCTATCCTAATGCAATCAGCCTAATAGGAGGTTGTCAAAAGTAGGATTCAAAATGTGGTATTAATACATGCTAAAAAATGTCACAGATTCAAACCATAGTCTGAGGCTGAAAACAGGCTGAGTAATGAACAATCAACAGTATACACTATTCGTAATATACTGAACACTATTTGTATAGGTATGGAGAATGCAGCTGAGGGCTCCATCCAACCTGGCCTTGAGCACCTCCAGGGATAAGGCACCCACAGCCTCTCTGGGCAGCTGTGCCACCGACTAAAGAATCTTCCTAACATCTAATCTAAATCTACTTTCTTTCTCTTTAAAAACATTATCCCTTGTCCTATCACTACCTTCCCTGACAAAGAATTTTTCCCTATCTTTCTTGTAGGACCCCTCTAGCTACTGAAAGGCTACAATAAGGTCTCCTGGAATCTTCTGTTCTTCAGGCTGAAAAACCCAAACTCTCTTAGCTTGAGAGAAATCCTCCTGCTTTCTGCTGTGGGGAAAGGAGAGTAGGGACAAGAATATTAATTCAGCCTTAAGAGGTTTCACGTATCCTAGAAGAGTGTACAGCAATTCTAGTTTAGTTGCTGCTACTCAGCTACATAGTACAAGACATCCAATATTGGAGGCTTATGTCTGACCTCTATACTGACCAGAGTGATTAAGATGAAGGGCCTTTGGATTTCAAAATGGACAAGAGATTCAGAATGTGGAGAAGAATAAGAGCAAGAAAATATACTGCTGTACAAACTGATTTGTCTGTCACCAGCACTGAGTAGCTAAAATTTTAAGGAAAGCTTACTTGAGAGCATTTTTTGTTTTGTTTTGTTTTTGTTTTTTTCCAGTTCAACACGTTAACCGTGTAATTTTCTATCTAAACATTTCGTGTGAATTAGTAAGCTGCAGACGAATTCTGGAGCCATTTGCTGAAGTTGCTTAATAAACTACATGGGTGATGTGCAAGGTTAGACCAGCACTCATGTTAAATATTATGTGAATTATGATTACTTCAGATCTAGACTTGGAATTTGAAAAAGACACTTAGAGCAACAGAATATTCATTAGTAAGCCCATTTCTTTTTAGAATTGCAGACTACCTGATGAACTGAAAATTAGTTGCTACAGTCAATTGCTACTAATCCTTTCCTGACTAACTCATTGATGAACATTTGGGACTGGAATTATGTGCTGCAGAAAATTGTGAACAATTTTGGAATGAAGTCTGAAATATATCGTGTAAAACATTGTCTAAAAAGAAATGTCAGAATATTTTCTTCTAGTCCTTAGATTTCTGTTTCTTCATGAGAAAAATATCTGAATGTCTGCCAGAGTTGCATGTAAGGCATCTATCCATAAATTTCTTTTCTTCCATTCATATTATCTTCAGGTAAATAACTATGCATCTTTCATAAAGCTGCTTTGGTTTGATTTGCCTTCTGCTTTCACCCTGTAGGCCATTGGAGTGATTTGATTGGCTAAAAGAATGTTGTTTTGTTTTGAACTTGAAAGCAATCAGTCGTTCTATTTCACTTTTCTTGCTCTGTTGCTACTTTGATTGTTTTGCACATTTTTTTGTTCATTCTACTGTGTTGTTCATATGTCTACTTAGTCTCCTTCATCTGCATGTCATTCTGTATATTCACTTGCTTTGTCTTGTTTTATTAGTAGGAATGAGACATTTTGACAAGATTACCATGTATGACATGTCAGAAAAATGCATTTTCTTTCAGCTAGGTTGATCATGTCTCACTGATATTACATACTCTTATGGCAGAAATGTTTCTCACGATGTTCCTTCATAATTTTAAATTAAATAACACCTGACCTGTCTTCATATCCTGATTCATACCTGAAAAGAACGTGAACCACATGTAGAACATCAGTACTTGTTGAACATGGGGAAGACTGTCCCTTTTTTGCAAAGGGAGCTGATTTTCAGTCTTAATTTACACTCTTAATAAAATAGTATCCTAAACCTTACCTGGAGGCCGGTCTCTTGTGTCTCAGGAATGAAGTTGATATATGCAGTCCTTGCTTTGCAGTGTAGGTAATCTTTGGGATGCTGTGAAAAACCAATTAACTCTTTGAAGTTAAGGAGAGAGATTTTGAATTTGGCTTCATATTTTTTGGAAAGTTAGTA